CGTCTTACTGAATCATTTGATTAATGTACTCAAAATACGCTCTTGTTCCGAAGAAGTCCAATAAACGAAAACCTCTGTATGATTGTATTATAACAATTATTAGTTCTTAGTTCGGATATAGATGAATTCAATATAATTCCTTATCCCTACATTTACAGCTGTAAATTAATTTTATACTCTTGGTAATATAATATAGACTATAGTACGCCATCATTCATCAGTATAATATATAATACGTATAATTACTAAACATCATATCCAGTTTTGTGACGAATAGTTGATGGTGATCAAGAACTTAAAATATCACTTATACACCTTGATTATAAAACATTAAAACCCTTTGATCTCTAGAATATCGATCAAAGGATCTATATGATCTTAAGTGTGATTAAAGTCACTGAATGCCACAGAGCAAATATATTTGATAACAATCAGACCTATCTCGACCTTCGTATCAGCTATAAAAATACTGTCGCGATCACACCTTCGTTCTTAGTTTAGTCAAAGTTACGCAGTCAACCCTATGAACGTTACAATTATATACAATTGTATACATGTGACGAGTATTCAATGTTGTTTAGATCTCACAACTGAAACGACCAACAGAATCTCATCAAGGAAAGTCAATAAATTATAATATTCAAAATACTAATACAATATAGGTACAATAAACATCAATTAACAGTGCGCCAACACGTCATGTCTATAATGGGTCATCTGCCATATTGACAAAATTTCTATTATGCCATTATGTACCTATCTATATGAATATAAAGTGTAACTTTGAAACCTTTTTGCTGATGACGCAACGTCATTCTCTAAAAAATTGAAAATTGTTGATTTCCAGACATATGTTCTGTTCATTTCCCTTTTGAGTTTAAAGTTGAATAGTAGTTTGGCTCACTATATCACAGCGTACCCAGTGCCCACAGTTTTCCATACTTCATCACCAGTGTTTGTGTGCATAATATAATATAATACAAAAATGAATTAAATTATTTTGTAACTCGATCGTTAAAATAAACACCCATGATAGGGCAATGATGAGGTGATTGTACGGACGTACCGTTTTATGGAAAAACCGATGTCATTGCGAGATCGCTCCCGATAACGAAAGGTACAAACTTTCGAGATAATAATGTTCGCATGGCAAAACGAAATGGGCACAGAACGTTTTAAAATTCGCCATGTCTTATACAAGTTTTTACTATTATCGACACTCGTTTAATAATCATAATAATATGCTCTATGGTAGTGATGGCACGGTACTATATTATATTATTTCGTCGTGGCAACGTCAGAAACCTGTAAGATTATATTAATGTGGTCTGCTGTCGCAGTGTACACAAGATAATAGAAACGAATATAAAATAAAGCGTGTTTATAGGGCACATGAGAAATGGTGATAAACAGAACGGGTGTGGCCGCAGGTGGAGTACGATTCTTCTATCTTTGAATTATAATTCACATGTAAATACGAGCACTGTTATTATTTGAAAATAACAAATTTAGTGTAGTGGTTGGAGGGGATTTGTGGCTAATCAAGAGTCAAGACCACCCTCCGCGGTTGTTGTTTTTTTTCTCTTCGAAAACAATCCTTCTGGTATCCTGGTAGAGTACTTTATTTTAATTTCCTGACTCTATATCAGTTAAAATGTAATATACTCACGTTGAGATCAATAGTATATTCGCACACCATTTAAATGTTCGTTGGTGTGTCCTAAGCAAAATAATATAGTTTGTGTTGATATCGAATGCCAGAAAAGAGGGTATTGGACATGCTACGGTTGAAATGCCACTACGAGCCCGTTGTGACGTGGTTCCTTTTTTTCATAGTGGCTGAATTCAAAGAAATTATTGACTTTCGTACACACAAGGAAATCATTAACATAACAGATGAACAAAATATAACATTACCACTTAAAATTTTAATTGGAACGTCATTTGCCTGGGTGGTGCCTATAGGATGTGGTTTAATCCGGACTTGCAGAACATCGCAAAGGTTGTTTACGCAATACGAATATTATTATTAAGACTACAGCTATGGAGTGGAACACGCGTGTCTAATGACCCGCTCGGCGTTTCTTTTCGGTTAATTTGCATAGGCCTCGGGCCAAATTCAGAAAGGGTTGTCGTTTTGCGGAGGCGGACGCGTACGTGCGGTTTATAATAGAGGATCGCCACCAAGACGACTGCAGTATAAACAGCTACAATAGTGCGTGATCATACAGGGTGGTCATATTCGCCCCCAAATTCGTCCACTAAAGTCTAAATGAGATTATTTTAGAATTTGTTACTTTTATCTGTCGTCCTACAGCGGCATTAACAGTGTCTTATTAAATATCTATATGCCGTTTTTAAACTTAAGATATTTATTTTTAAATGCTAATGTGCATTACATAAATATCAGATTTCTCTGAATCAATAATTAAGTTACGTTATAATTTTAAAATTTTAAAAAAACTATTCCGCAGAAAAGCATTGTAAATGATGTATATTCGGAATATTTAGTGTTTTGGGCACAGAACAACCACGATTGGAGGCAATTCGGAGCGGAAAAAATTGACTAAAAGAGAGTAACGCTTCGAATTCTTCTTGTTCTTTCCAGATCATAGGTGATAATTATTATGTTATCATTGTGAAAAAATTAAAAAATCGATGCGACTAATATCGGTCAATAATATAATTTTAAAACAGTGGTTTTGGCTGAATGATTAAGAAATAATCCCACAACAACCAAAATAAAAACCAAATTTAATACTTCGGTGAATAATCGACTGAACAATAACAAAATTTTTACCCTGTATATAATATTATAATAAATAAAGCTAATATATTCATTAAGCTCGGTTCCCATGAACGCCGCGCACGGATTAAAATGTTTAAGCTACCAGGCTCGATAACGCATGCACAGCCGAATTGCCAAAATAATAATAAAATGTACACCCAAAACATTGTAATTCGTACTCCGACCTATGTATAATAAATATTGCAAGTTAGCCGTCTTCGAAGAACCGCCGAACAACCATTCTGTATGCATCTTAAATAGTATGCAAAATTTGAATTGGAAATACGAATAATATTATGGCCTTGGTATTAAAATATAAATAAATAATATTAAATTATTATAACCCTTTAACGGTTAAACCCTTTTTTGCCTGAAATTGACGTTTTTGTGCTGACAGGATAATCTAGGATTTGCGCTTTACCCACAAAAATACAATTTATTAAATTGTTTCATACATTTTTGTCACCACTCGAGGCACTTTAATTTAAAGTTGAATAATATATTTTTTCGTGCAATCATTTTTGCCTTATTTTACACTTTGAGCGAAACAATTGATTTTACAATAATATGTATTTTTTTTCTTTTTACTTACGCGTTAAGTACTCCAAATAATGCCTCTGTATCTTTTCAGATGGACAAGTTAATCTAGCTGATAGTTTTATGCAAAATTCACTGTAAATTTCAAAAGCAAAAGAAAAAAAAATAGAAAAACGGGAATTTTAAATTAAAACGAATTTTGAACAAAATAGATTTTATTTTTTGGAATAATTTTTTTGAGATATTCCCATAAGTATTTCATATTGTATCCAAAAATCGAAAATGAATAAAAAAAATTTTAATGGATATTCTAATTCAAATTTGGACAACATTAGATATTTAAACGGAAATAACGATTTCAGTGTTTTTTTTTTTTTTTTGTGATTTAAAAATATTATTTGAAAGTACTGAAAGTACCTAAATGACATTTTTAAGTATACCAAATGAAATTTTTTCGTAAAAAATAATTCAACCAACTATTTTACTAATAGCAAAATAAGTCACTTGAATAGCATTTTTATCATAAAATATACATACCTACATTGGTTGACAGACAGTTCTTCGTTCAAAATCGTTTTTCGTATACAATGATTGTATGTCATTAAATTCAAATTTAACACATCCATTACAGTGACCCACATGACGCCTATAATGTACAGCAAAGCGCTATCCACTTGTGTACATTTTTGAAATTGTATTTAAAATGTTGTTTATGATTTAAATAATTAAGCAGGAACCTCCTTATTGACTAACTAAATTTTTAACAATATTCATGTGTATGTATAATTAAATTAATTGCAATTATATCTTAAAATGTATTGATGGTTTAAACAATACTAATTAAGAGTTTTTTTGATAAAACTGATGTCACAACCAAAGTTTAGCCCAATGCGTCCCCATAAAGTAGAAGTGAAAATTAAACCTATTTAAGAGTAGAGCCAGAGTCAAGATAAACATTAAAGTATTTTGATAAACCCAATTCCTGTATGTCCTAATTTCTATTTCATCTTATTTGGGAGTGATTTGGATCACCATATTAAGTATGAAATATAAATCATATGACTATAAATGTACACTTAGCACCAGCTAGGTCTCTGTGAATAGATAATTTTAAATGAATATTAATAACAGAATCGATTCGTTCAAAGAAAAGAGGAATATTGACTTTCCTCGGCCGTTATTGCAATAATATAAAATATTTAATAAAACCGTAAACAGTAAAAATACCACTGTAACAATAGGTACCTAATTAAAAAGTGGTGTCACGTATTTTAAACTTCATTTTTGTTACTTACTAAACATAAACTGTTTCACCCAAAAAAAATGTCAATCAAGCAATCGTACCCTTATATTTCAGTTTTTTACACAGACGTGAGTTTTGATGAATATGTCGAGTAAATATTATAATGTTATAAGTTACCTTTATGCTACTATAATATACTAAAAAAAACCCTGAGAAAGGATGATTTCCTTCAGTTTTTTTTTCATCAATTATTATAAAATGTGTGTTGATCGTTAAAGTATTGCATTTAAACATCATAAATGTTGAAGTGAAATTTCACCACTAATCATATCGATACGTTTTTAATTGTTACCCCCATCAACTGTCATCTGTTAAAATAAATTTAAATTATATTATAATTATATCGTATAATACAATAAAATATTTTTTCAGGTGCAGATAGAAAAAGAAGTCTCCCTTTTAATTACTGTGACCGGTATCAAAGTATGCAGTCCAGATGGCAAGGTAATTAAAATATTATAGTTTATAGTAACTGTTGTGGTCCCTTCCCTCCAAATATACATTGAATAGTTAGTCACCGAAACATGAACATTTATGCTATGCACTTCAATATAGAAAATATGATAAGCATGAAACCATATTTTTCATGTTGCTCTAAATTGATGCTGTTCGAATAAGAGTTAACAAAAGTGATGTTTAAAAGTAAATACAAACTACACTTTATTGCAATATTTTTCTGTTCTCGAAATAAAAAAACCCAGTCAAAAAACATTAGTTGTCGTCAATAAAAAAAATATTACTACAAGTAATGTCATCAAATATTTATTTTATTACAGAAATAAAATAATGTTGGAACGACAGGCTTAACCTCATAGGTACAAAAAAATTATCTACATAATACACTTGTATGTGAATCATTACAAGACATTAAAAGGGTCGTGATTCATAAAACGATACATGGTATGGGTAAACCAAAAAATAAAAATTCGAACGGGTGAGTTTTGGCGTTTTTTTTTTAGGGGGGGGGGGCTCGCCTCAATTTGTTCATATCGGCGAAGGATATTGAAGTGTTGTGAAATGCGACACTAAATGGCAACAACAATAGTACAAATATCCCAAAAAAGTTGGGTAAAGTTGTGCTTGCTGATAATTTCTACCAACATTTATTTTTGTATTTCGTTTATTATGTTTCATTGACCTCCTCTCTCTTATTTAAAATTAGAAGATAATCTTTAAATTATTACTACGTTAATATGAAATCTTCAACGCATAATATTTTTTTCACTTAAATACCTACATCTAAAGTCGTGACATTCAAAGTAATTTAAAAACAAATTTAATTATATCATTTTTTATTCTATAAATACTCTATGGTCTATATTACTATATAATATTTCAATGACTAAATCTATATTTTGAACTGACAGTTAATTGGTATTATATATTATAGTATGCCTTTGTTAAGTTCCCTCCAAAAATATTGACTTGTGATAAGCTGTTTATATACATTTTTAATCCCGAATTGAAGTTGATTCGATTTGTATCGAATTAAATAATTAAGGTGCTTTCGCGTAATGTGAATTAAAAAGGTGTTTATATGTACCTAACTCCCGAATTACCTTAACGCCCATTACGATGGAGTTAAAGTAGTTTTAAATACATGGGTATTCGTGTTTTCTTGCTGAAAGTAATAATTATTTTATTTATTGGTAAAGATCCAAGTATCCTTACATCTAGCACTGTTTTAAGCTATCATAATATTTACAAAATGTTAAGTATGTAGTGACGTCTAGTTATATATCTTTCTGTCTACTGGTATAATATATCAATCGATGAAAACGATAACTACATGAATCTTTTTTAATTGGACCATTACGCCTTTCTATTCACAAAAAAAAAATAATAATGATGATAAAAACCACTATGAAAGGTAGAAAATCTAAAACTCAAACAAACAAATAACCGAATATTTCGAACCAAAAATAAAAAAATGTGAAGCGATGGTCAAACGCTATATCAAGTAGGCGGCAAGTTAACTTACTTGAAGAAAAACATTAATCTAGCACTCGGAATCCCGGAGAAACAAGATTGGAAACGGTTCGATGTTAAAATATAACACCCCCGACGCACCAGCACAATTTTTAACGTCCCAACGTGACTATTCATCGGTGGTCGTATATATAAATAAAATCTCGAGGAATATACGGACAATAATATTCTGTTTGAAAACCGCAATTTGTTCGATTCCGTCGTAGCCGCAATAAATTTAATCCCAAGCACACTCGATGTATGTGTACAGTACACATATTATATTGCGTGGTATGACTACGGGTATTCACTATAAATACATACATATATATATATATATAATATACTGTGACTTGAATGAGACAGACGGAGAGGGGAATATACGGTGGGTGGAATAAATAGGGTTGTGAAAGAGGAGGCGGTGGAGGTGGTTGGACGTTTAACTATATAATCCGTGCCAAAAACCCTCTTCACCCACTGCAGCTATTACGCCGCTTTTTCCTTACTATTTTGGCCGAGGGTCGGACATTTCTCCAAACAGGCTCGCCCCACCACGCGCCGCCACCGATTCTATGGGGTGGGCACAAAACTTTGGCGTCTCTTGACGCCGCTAATTTGATTTTCACGCTCAGACCGTTAAGGAAACTGCCAAAGTGTTACAACACTACTCACGCAGTGATATCTCCACGATATCATCCTATACGTAATGTATTACCACCATCGCCGTGAACACGCAAAGTTTTTGATGTTTTGGGAGGGGGGAGGGTTGGGGTTGCGGTTGTTCATAAGAAAAAATGCATTTCAACGGTCATTAAAGTTTGAATCCACCACTTTGGGAAATAAAATAAATCTATCCCAAAACAGATAAGAAACAACCGGCCAGGGGATAATCGATCAAACATATGCGGTCACCGCCGCCACTGCCGCACCGCTGTCGGAAGTGGCGGTGGTGGTATATTATTATATATTATTTGTAATGGTCTCTCGGGAACGTCGTCGTCGTCATCGTCATTGTCGTAGTCACTGTCGGCCAATGACCGTCGAAACGCAACGAGTTGTAGATGAGTAAGACGATCGACAAAACAATATTTCTTTCGTAAAAAATCGGTCGTCCATTTGCCTCGAGGCGCTTTATGTTTATATTTTATTGATTACTTTTCGAATCATAGTCAAACTATAAAACCAATTTTTCTGTTATTATTAATTTATATACATACGACGCAGTTGTGTGTATTTTTTAGTGATAAAACAGACTGCATGGCGCCTGCAGCCTTTCGTTTTGGCGTTTTATAATCATTATTACTATCACACAATGCACAATCACCGCATATACTTATATATATATACATGTGAAAATAGTAAATACCTAATCGAAAGAAAAACACATCAATACACGCTAATTTGATTTCCCACAATATTGTTTTATGCTATACCGTGTATAATGTATGCCATTTAACCACAAACATTCATAATTACAACGAAGAACGAACTATTGAATGCACATGCCGTAATCGCCGAACACCCTACATTCAGACTTCAATGAGCATGTACACAGGCTACGCATATTGGTATAGTATATAATAATTATACTAATATAAAAACATATTACGAACAATTAATGTCCATTTATTTGATTTTCGTTTAAATATGGTATTGCATTTTCATAAAATAACGAATACATTTTAATTGTTATCCGACAACAATATAACTATTTATCGTTATTCAATTACATTTTTCATATAATTCCCCTGTAGACGTTTTGATGGTAAAATAATCAAAGCCTAAAAATGATGAACACTGCATCACGTTATACATATGAGTTTAAAAATAGTCTTCAGGTTCAAAATTTATATTTTTATATCTCTACAACAAAAAATCCGTTGCACATTGTAGATTATTATTTGAAATTTATATATACTGATATACATGCATAATAAATAATATGAATAAAATATATATATCTATATATAACTGACCATTAATATCCACAAAAATACAATTTATAGAATCCAATTATTGTCCTTAATAGCACAACTCTTGTGGAAAACAATTTCATTTAATTCACAGATGTGCCAGATTGTTTCCATCGTGGAATTTTTCATTCGTATTTTCATAATTTTCTGATTTATATCATTTAAAACAATCGTTGACGATTTATCTTACTTGGACTTAACAGAAGATTGCATACTTAAAATTAATTCAATTTATTATATCTCGTGGTTTTAGTACAATTTTATAACCAATGATAAAATACCCGTCGGTTTATAATCTTATGCCATTTGCAACTTAATTGTAACACAAAAAAGTAAAATTAAAGAACTCGTTAAAATAAAAAACACTTAAGTTGCATTGTTTATTGGTATTGTATTGAATTTAAGTTTTTCAATATAAGAACTACTAATTGACATATTTTAAAACTGTTCTCAAACGAGCTTAATTTAATGAATAGTTTTAATTTAAAATAAACTATGTAAATGTTCAAAAAGCAAGAAGTTCAATATTTCTTTTCATATTTGTTGCATAGAGTGCACAAAATGCATAGAATATTAAGAATTCTTTGTTATTCTGCTTTAGTCATCAATCAATAGATTACTTTGTAACTTTATAGATTTAGCTTTACTCTCTCAATGATCAGATTTCTAGGACAAATAGCATTGTCGAGCTTTGATAATATTTTTTGTACTCGATATAGTACTTAGTTTTTTTCTCCATACTTTCTTGATCAATTTTATCAGCACTGCGCGTCTTATTAGGCGGCCAATCCTTACATTTTTTGTCTTTTTAAAGTGTCAAAATTATATTCCTCAAAATTTACTATGAATGTTACAAAGGCCCGACTTAATTTTAGATAATTCTGTTCACATTTAAAACTTCTATTACTCCAATTCTGCTTCATATATTTTCCCTACAGTACAATTTGGTCGTTGTTTCAAAGTATGTTTTTAGGATATCTTTCCTCCGTCTATTTAACAAACTGTTTAAATCTTTGATTCCCACTTCCCGCGAGGCCTTGATATCGATCTTAATTTTTGTTCACTTGTTCTTGTGTTTACTGTAGTCATAAGTATGCATATTTTATAGACAGGCGTATTAATATAGATTTAAATATTTAAAGTGTGCATGTCGTAGTTTATAGGTAATGGTCAATAGTAAATAGTAACCTGTAAACTAGTGTGATTTGTACTTTTTATATAGTAGAGAAGATAATTTTATAAATATTATCATGGTATTAATGAAATAATTTGTCCACTCAATACTTTAATAATAATGTCACGATCTACATGTCTTGGTGGGGAATTTCGCATAAAATGTAATACTTTTAATTAGCATACCCAAAGTTAGTTATACAATTAATTCTTTTAACATTAATGAATCAACATACACAATATGAAAGAATAACCTAACCTATAGACAACGGTACATTTTATGAGCTACAGCGTATTATAAAGTCGTACTTAAATCATTGTGTTTACACA